TGGTATTCAACACAGAAAATAGTGCTTTATAACATATCCAAAATCCGACCATAGGAAATTACTAAAAAATCAAATTCAAAATGGCGGCAAATTTTCAAATTTTTGTGATATTTGTTTTAAGACTTTTCGTGGTATGGGATTACGGAAAGCACATATACATAAATTAAATATCAGATTGGATGTTGAAATAAATATCAAATAAATACAAGAATAGACTTTATTAAAACGGCAAGGGCATATTTGTATGTACATTTTTGTTTCCATAGTTAAAAAAAAAAACTAAATTTAATAGTTTTCTTGGACAAACTATTCATTTTAATAACTGTTATCATTTTGTTTCAATGTTCTTACATTCATTGATCTGGCACTCCCCTAAAGAAGCAGAACAAGACAGTCCGTTCTGTTTACACCCACAGTTGCGCACTGGGTCATAAAAGAAGAATGGAACATATTCAATAATCACTCTAGGCGGTCAGATACGCTAGTATCTGGGTGTTGGGGGTAGTACGAGTTTTCACCAAGAAGGACATTATTCTCAGACGTTTGAACAAATATGTGAAAAATAACTATTATAGGAAACAGTAAACATGAATACTATAGTATGAAATAGTAAACATATCAAAACAGGCAATGCAAAAAGAGTTCATTTTCCTACTACTGGATATTGAAAATTTTAATAATAAAATAAACAGTTACCTTGTTCAATATCCTTGTTGAATAAAGGACTTAAACACTGTCTGCCACCTCCCCCAAACATGAAGAACCTAGTTAACGAAGTCATAAATACAGAAGCTACAATACTCGAATTGCCTAGTGAGGAACAGAACAGCATTAGAGTTTTAGTAAATGACAAATTAACCAGAAACATAGTCCCCAAAATCAGACAAAATGTAAATCGTCATAAAAACCAAGACCATCTAATAGCTAAAAATATTAAAGAAAAACTAACTGAGAACCACGCAATAGTAACCAAAGCTGACAAGGGAAGCACGACTGTCATAATGTATGAAAGTGATTACGAAAAGAAAATAAACCAGTTCATAGACGAAAACAATATTGAATTAGTGAAAAATGACCCCACCCCCAAATTTCTTAAAGAAATAAATTTGAACATTAACAGATCGAAACACCTACTTTGTGACAAAATAAAAAGACAACTCAAAGTTACAGCCCCTTATGCACCTAAATTCAAAGGTTTACCAAAAGTTCACAAGCCAAACATTCCCATCAGACCCCTTGTAAATTACACGTCAGCACCAGCATATAGAATAGCCAAGAAAATAGACAGAATAATTAGGGGTAACATAGATCTAAACCCTAATTATAGCCTAAAAAATAGCATAGAGTTATGTAGTAAACTGAACGAAATCCAAATCCAACCTAGTCACAATCTGATGTCATTAGACGTGGAAAATATGTACACAAACATCCCCACTGATGAAGCAATTACAATTCTGGAAAAACAGTTAATTAAACATAACACATTGAATGAAAACCAAATATGCGAACTAATCAACCTAGTCAAAATTATAGTGAAACAAAACTATTTTGAATTTAATGGCAAACATTATATTCAAAAAGAAGGTTTAGCAATGGGCTCGCCCTTATCTAGCATATTAGCTGAGTTATTTCTGAACGATTTTGAAGTCAAACACATCATGGCAGAGGATTCCAAGTACAAAGACAAAATCATATTTTACCAAAGATATGCAGACGACGCAATATGTGTTTTTAAGGGGAATGGTAGGCAAATTGACATCTTCACAAATTATCTCAACGATAAACACCCAAAAATTAAATTCAAAAATGAAATAGAACAAGACATGAAATTAAACTACCTAGATCTAACCATATATCGCCATAACAACAAAATCAGCTACAGCGTTTACCACAAACCCACTCAATCAAGTCAAGTAATACACTCGACTTCACACCATCCTATTCCGCACAAAATGGCAGCATTCCATTCATTTGTACACCGCCTCAATAGCATTCCAATGAGCCCTGACAACTACCAGAGAGAATTAAACATAATCAAGTTCATCGCAGCCGATAATGGATACAACCCAAAAATAGTTGACCGAATTTTAAATAAGAAGAAAAACCCCCGGACCACAAAAAATAGACACAACAAATATGTCACAGTCACCTACGGAAACCACCTAAGCAACAAATTTGCGAACATATTGAAGAAAAGAGATTACAAAGTAGCATACAGGACCACCAATAAAATAGATAGTTTGCTATCCAATAGACTTTCCAATACAGATAAATTTAACTCAACTGGAATTTACAAGATGACCTGCACAGATTGCCCCAAATTTTACATCGGCCAAACTAGGCGATCATTTAAAACCCGATATAAAGAGCATTTACCAAAAAACACCCCAACTCAAAAGTCTAATTACGCCGAGCACCTAGTCAGTAGCAACCACAACTATTCAAAGATCGAAGAAAATTTGACAGTAATTCACACATGCAACAATAAAGCCAAAACAACAGCTCTCGAAAATTTTGAAATATATAAGGCCTTTAAATTAGAAACAAAACATATTTTAAATGACAAAATCAATAGTCAAGCGAACGAGCTGTTTGACACTATCATCAAATTAGACAGAGAAAGGAAACCAGAAACCACCGATCAGCTGATTGCAGATGACGTCACCTTGACCTTCGACGGAACTCCAGTCGCGGCCGGCTCGACATAAGCGTGCACGCATCGCGATGGTTTCTCCGTGTAAATATCTTGTAAATACAATGTGTTTTCGTCTTGTGTTCGGTAAAAACTTTATGTATTAACGAATCGTTCTACGAGGATTGACCTGATGATGTGATTGTTGTCACGAAACCGGTCGTCATCAAATAGCACAAAAGGATATTGAACAAGGTAACTGTTTATTTTATTATTAATGCAAAAAGACTAAAAAACAAAAAGTCGTACCCCCATACATTTCTTATGAACGTTTGGTAATTTGAAAATTTTTAAGATAATTTTTCTTTTATCTCCAGGTTTTACTAACGCTTTGCAGTTTGATCTAGCCTTAAAATATTCTGTGATAAAAGGGTTTAAATTTGAGCTATTGATCATTAAAATCGGATGATTTAGAAACGATCTACGAACCCTATAACACAATATTAAATTTAACTTTTTAGATATAAGTTTTTATTTAAAAGATGTATAACTCGGGATGTTAATATGTCACCAAGTTCATTCTGGTCTCAAATTACTCAGTGAATCTTTGGCTTTAATTGTATTAACCATTTAATAAAATCTGATAAATTTTTATTGAGTCATGAATCTTTATTTAACAGTAGATTGTTAGTTTTTCAAAATTTGTCTTTAGTTTTAGACATATATCCCCAATTCCAAATAACTCCCAAAAATCTTTACAGTCTAAAATAAATATTAACATTATTGACTTTTGTTTTAGGTATGGATTACTTATTGGGAGTAATTAGAATTGGGGATAAATACCCTAAACTAAAGACAAATTTTGTAAACAAAATGATTTACTGTTAAATAACGATTCATGCCTCATTTTAAATTTGTCAGATTTTATTAAGTGATACATAAAATTGAAGCCAAACATCCACTGGGTAATTTGAGACAAGAAAGAACTTGGTGACATATTAGCTACCCGAGATATACATCTTTTAATAAAAACTTATTTCTAAAAAATTAAATTTAATATTGTGTAAGGGTTTGTAGCTCGTCTATAACACTTCCGATTTTAATGATCAATAGCTCAAATGAAAACACTTTTATCACCGAATATTTTAAGGGTAGAACAAACTGCAAGCGTTTGTAAAAACTGGAGTTATAAGAAAAATTATCTTAAAAAATGTTCAAACTACGTAACGTCCATAAGAAATGGATGAGGGAGAATTTTCGTTTGAACATATCTTCTATTTATAATGATGTGTCACAACACTATCATTACGTTTAAAAAGATATATTTATATCCAATATAGCGGATCCAATATGGCGGATCAGAATAAAAACCACTTAGTTTTCCTATTTAATGCCCAAAGAATCAGTGTACCGAATTTCAGCCACCTAGGTAAATGGGAAGTGGGAGAATTAGTGATGAGTGAGTGAGTCAGTCAGTCAGTCAGTGAGGGCTTTGCCTTTTATATATTTAGATATATTATATATATATATATATATACTAGCTGTACCCGCGGGCTTTGCCCCGTTTTACTTCATAAGTGAGCTCGTTCGCATGGCTCAATCACGTCCTGGTTGTAGTTCGTTCGCTACGATCACTCACTTTTAGGTTGGAGCTCGTTTGCTGCGCTCACTTGCCTTCAGGTTAGCTCGTTCGCTACGCTAACTCGCCTCCAGGATGAAGTTCGTTCGCTACGCTCACTCACCTTTTGGTTGCAAATTAGCTGTTGTCATAAATTAAAAAAAAAAATAATAGTGCTGCACCCTGTTGGTAATCCTTGTAAGTTTTTAATGCTTTTGCATATCATAGAACCAACTTTTTAGTTGAAACAGCTGACTAAATTATTTAATTCCCTTTTAATATGAATACTCATAAGATTAACATGGGGAACTATAGAGCCACTGGGGCGGAGCCCGAAAGGATTTTTGAGATAAGAATATGCCTATATGTTAATCGGGAATGTGAGCTATCATCATGCCAAATTTCAGCAAAATCCGTCCAGTGGTTAATGCGTTCACTTGTCACAAACATACATCCAAACTTTCTCATTTATAATATTAGTAGGATATGAATTTGAACTGATGGTGTTTTTGTCTCTGGAACTCTCAAAACAAAAAAGTAAATTGGTCACGGGGCTAGGTCTTACCATGAAACCTACGGTAATAGTTTATTCTCTATCGGTATATGGGAAATTTGCTAAAATCAGACATTATCATTATCACAATATGGTATATCTTTGTTTCACCTCCCTCAACTGCGCCAACTAGCTCTGCAGCAAGGAGACATCTTATTTTACTATTTTATTTTGTAGATTATATAGGTAGCAATTACCTGGATGAATCCATTGGGACCAGACATTACGACTCCATTTTTCCACCACAGGACGTTAGTTGGAAAACTACAGGATCCTTCTCGGGACAGGTATGGCCAAACGAATACTTTCTGGAAGTTCTGAGTTTCTTCTTTCACCTGGAAAATGTCAAGGTATTGACTTTTAACAAAAACATCTTACTTTAAAATAATTTCTTGAAAGATCATGTTGGTATAGGCATTATTTAGTGCAAATGTATAACAATACTGTTTAGAGTTTAATAATTATCTGGTCATCTGTCACCAAGGTACAAGTTGTTACTTAAACACACTAATATTTTTGTGTTGCCAAAAGGAAACTAAACAATCAGAAACAAAATGTGGAACGGTAACACCCCTAATAGAAACTATAACAACACAGGCCCAAAAAGGGTTAAGAGATGCAGAATAAGAGTAAGATATACATTGAAACATAAATTTTAAATTAGCAAAAATAAAATCTGACTTACCTTTCCTACAATTAACAAAATTATACTTTAACATGTTGTGAAGAAACTATTTATTAAATCAAAATCCACATTTTAGGAACAGTATTTTATCTAGTAATTTCAATAACTCATCTCAAAACAAAAGGTAAACAACAATAATAAACTAGGTGGCGTTCGCAGAGGCATCCACAAAATTGAGCGGAGTCATCAAGGGTTCATATTATATTGTTTTTGTCATACTGCAGTAAAAACAGTAGTTTTTAATGCTTGCGTTGCGGGTCTAAAGTAGCATTTTTAATATTTAGGGAGTAAAAATTGTTTACAGCTTCTATGGAGTAAAAATCAGCTGTCAACTCGATCAAAATCAGTTGTAAATTTCGATTGTAAACGATTGCATGTATCGGAAATATGTATCGATTCGTGCTTCGTAATCATTTTAACATACAGTCTACTAGTCTACAGTCTCTTCCCATAGCATTTTAGCATTGCAGATACATTAATCCATTCCCACACTCAAGACTGCTCACATTTACTACTTCCTTCACCACCCCCTACGTCATGGACCTGTTTCCCTCTCTTCCCATAGCATTTTAGGATTGCAGATACATTAGTGTAATTGCCAAAGACAGTTCCCACACTCTGCACTGCTAGCCTTACTACTTCCTTCGCCATTTCCTACGTCATAGACCTGTTTCCTTCCTTTCTCATAGCATTTAAGTATTACAGATACATTTATCAAACTGCCCAAACGGTTCCCCCACTCTGCACTGCCAGCTTTTACTACTTCCTTCACCACTTCCTACGTCGAGGGGCCTGTTTCCTTCCCTTCTCATAGCATTTTTGGAATGAAGATACATTAATCTAACTGCCACAGACGGATCTCACACTATGTTCATACTTTACTACTTCCTAAGCCACTTCCTACGTCGTGGACCTGTATTCATCACTTTCCATAGCATTTTAGTATTTTAGATACGTTAATCTAATTGCCACAAACATTCCCACACGTCGTACTGCTAGCCTTTACTACTTCTTTCACCATTTCCTATGTCGTAGGCATGCTTCCATCCCTTCTCATAGCATTTTAGCATTGTAGATACATTAAAACTGCTACAAACGGTTTCCAGTTCCCACACTCCACACTGCTCACCTTACTACTTCTTTCACCTCTTCCTACGTCGCGGACCTGTTTCCCTCTCTTCCCATGGCATTTTAAGATTGTAGATACCTTAATCTAATCATCATAAACAGATCCCACACTCCGAACAACCCGCATTTACTACTTCCTTCACCACTTCCTACATCGCGGACCTGTGTTCCTCACTTTCCTTAGCATTTTAGGATTGCAGATACCTTAATCTAATCGTCATAAACAGTTCCCACACTCCGGAAAGCTCGCCTTGACTACTTCCTCCACCACTTCCTACGTCACGGACCTGTTTCCTTCCCTTCCCATAGCATTTTAGGATCGCAGATAACCTAATCTAATCGTCGCAAACAGTTTCCACACTCCAGACTGCTTCCTTTACTACTTCCTTCGCCACTTCATACGTCATGGACCTCAAGCTAGTGTCGTCATTTGATTATATTTATGATCCATACCGTTTCTGTTTTAATATCTGTGGAATAATGCTATCAGCTATTTCTTTAACCACTGCATTCAAAAGTCAACAGCTGATCATATGTCTTTGTTTATGTGTCAAAATACTGCTTCCATAAGGATTACATTGAAACTTTGAGACCCAGTGGGGCGGATTCCTGAGAGACTTTTTTAACGCCATATAGATGTTGGCACTCACCGATATGGTCTTTATCACCATGCAAAATTTGAAAACGATTGATACAGCCGTTTAGGAGGAGTTTGCGTATTACGAAATGCATAAGAGTCGACGTATAAGAGCTTCGCTCAACTAGGAGGCGTTCGCAGATGCATCCACAAAATTGAGCGGAGTCATCAAGCGTTTATATTATATTGTTTTGGTCATACTGCAGTAATACCAGTCGTTTTTTATGCATGCGTTGCGGGTCTAAAAATCCTCTATGGAGTAAAAATAAGCTGTTGTCATCTCAGTTGTAAATTTCTATTGTAAACGATTGCATGTATTGAAAATATGTATCGATTCGTGCTTCGTAATTATTTTAACCTACAGTCTACAGTCTCTTCCCATAACGTTTTAGCATTGCAGATAAATTAATCCATTCCCACACTCAACACGCTCACCTTTACTACTTCCTTCACCATTTTCTATGTCGTGTGGATGCTTCCATCCCTTCTCATCTCATGTATAGCATTTCAGCATTGCAGATACATTAATCTAACTGCTACAAACGGTTTCCTGTTCCCACACTCCACACTGCTCACCTTACTACTTACTTCACCTCATCTAACGTCGCGGACCTGTTTCCCTCTCTTCCCATAGAATTTTAAGATTGTAGATACCTTAATCTAATCGTCATAAACAGATTTCACAATCCGGACAGCTCACCTTGACTACTGCCTTCACCACTTCATACGTCTCGGACTTTTTCTCTCCACTTCCACACTTCCAACACTTCCTACATCGTAGACCTGTTTTCCTCCATTCCCATAGCATTTTATGATTGCAGATACCTTAATCTAATCGTCATAAACAGTTCCCACACTCCAGCCTGCTCACATTTACTACTTCCTTCACCACTTCCTACGTCACGGACCTGTTTTCCTCCCTTCCCATGGCATCATGGGATTGCTAATACCTTAATCTAATGGTCATAAACAGTTCCCACACTCCGGACTGCTCGCATTTACTACTTCCTTCACCACTTCCTACGTCACGAACCTGTTTACCTCCCTTCCCATAGCATTTTATGATTGCAGATACCTTAATCTAATCGTCATAAACAGTTCCTACACTCCGGACTGCTCGCCTTAACTACTTCCTTCGCCACTTCCTACGTCACGGACCTGTTTTCCTCCCTTCCCATGGCATCATAGGATTGCTAATACCTTAATCTAATGGTCATAAACAGTTCCCACACTCCGGACTGCTCGCATTTACTACTTCCTTCACCACTTCCTACGTCACGAACCTGTTTACCTCCCTTCCCATAGCATTTTATGATTGCAGATACCTTAATCTAATCGTCATAAACAGTTCCCACACTCCGGACTGCTCGCCTTAACTACTTCCTTCGCCACTTCCTACGCCACGGACCTGTTTCCCCCCCTTTTCATAGCATTTTATGATTGCAGAAACCTTAATCTAATCGTCATAAACAGTTCCCACACTCCGGACAGCTTACCTTGACTACTTCCTTCATCCCTTCCTACGTCGCGGACCCGTTTTCCTCCCTTCCCATAGCATTTAATGATTGCAGATGCCTTAATCTAATCGTCATAAACAGTTCCCACACTCCGGACCGCTCGCCTTTACTACTTCCTTCACCACTTCCTACATCACAAACCTGTTTCCCTCCCTTCTCATAGCATCATAGGATTGCAAATACCTTAATATAATGGTCATAAGCAGTTCCCACACTCCGGACAGCTCGCCTTGACTACTTCCTTCATCACTTCCTACGTCTCGGACCCGTTTTCCTCCCTTCCCATAGAATTTTTGGAATGCAGATACCTAAATCTAATCGTCATAAACAATTTCCACATTTCAGACTGCTCACCTTTAGTACTTCCTTTAGCACTTCCTACGTCACGGACCTCAAGCTAGTGTCGTCATTTGATTATATATATGATTCATACCGTTTCTGTTCTATAATGCTATCATAGAACATCTGTGGAATAATGCTATCAGCTATTTCTTTATCTACTGCATTCAAAAGTCAACAGCTGATCATATGTCTTTGTTTATGTGTCAAATACTGCTTCCATAAGGATTACATTGAAACTTTGAGACCCAGTGGGGCGGATTCCTGAGAGTTATTTTTAACGCCATATAGATGTTGGCACTCACCGATATGGTCTTTATCACCATCCAAAATTTGAAAACGATTGATTCAGCCGTCTAGGAGGAGTTTGCGTATTACGAAATGCATTAAAGTCGACGTATAAGAGCTTCGCTCGCTCCGCTCAATAAACAGTTAATCTGATCTTTTAAATACTTTACATATGGTTAATTAATAACACCACATCTCCCTTTGTCACACATCTTCTTTTAATCATATCGTTTTGGTCTTCTTATGAGTCTCTGACTTCTTCGAGAAGGGTTGTGGGTTTTCTGATCAGGTGCCTGAGGGATTGTATTAGGCTGTTCAATATTCAATTCACCCTTTCTTCTAATGACAATAGTGTTAGATGCCATCGATTTCTTCTAAGCCGTCTTCCATTATTTAGTGTTACCCAATATGATCGGGGATAAATGTCTGATTTTGAAAAGATTTCTCCGTTACATTTCAGGTCTCTAATCCAGACCTTATCCCCTTCTTCCAGAGGTTTTAGTTCACTTGCTCGTCTCCTGCTGTCAAAATTCCTCTTCATTCTCTCTTTTATGCGTTTGTCGTTTTGTCGAAAACCAGCCAAATCATTAGTGTTGACTTTTTCAAAATCTTTCAATGATGGAAGATTTGACCTCAATTTTCTCCCATAAAGCAACTCTGCTGGAGACAGTCCCGATTCTAGCTTTGTTGTCCGGTAAACTAATAGCCCTAGATTTGGATCTTTATTTTTCAACAAAATTC